CCGTCGCCGCCCGTCTATGTCCTTGTCGTCAGGCCAGCAGACTCAGGGACCCTGGTACAAGGGAGCAAAGCGCTGCCTGGACTCTGCCTCGTCCTCTGTTAGTCTCTAAAAGTGTCTTCTGCAGGGCTACCACGGACTTCCACCCCAAAGCTTTTTAAGAGCACTTTACTAGGCAAGTACATTTAACACTTAAATGGAAGCCTGAAGGAACGGCGCATGGCATTCAGTCATTTCGTCCCGTTTCTCCAAGCCTTCTTCATCCTCGTGTACGGATTTGGGCTTCTACTCTCAAGGCACAGGCTCGGTTTCATCATTAAAATGGATTTTTTTAATGACATGCTTTAAAGTCATGGAACTGCTTACTGTAATAAACTGAATCATCTAATCTGAACCCTTTAAAACTCCGAACTTGCTGCCCTCTACGACAAAGTAGAACGGGCCGTCGGGTTCTGAGGCTGCAGATCTTCCCGGGAGCACAGAGCCTCACCTTCCTCTCACGGAGTGGTGGTGAGTTCGAACTGCTACCCCAGGGCTAGCCGCCCGACTGGTGCTCCGCCCACCTAGGCTCCCTCTGAACCCCTGAGGTGGTCTGAACCCAGCAGGTTTAGTCAGCCTTGCCGGATGGGCCGGAGAGAGCAGTATATTTTTCTTTGATTTTTTTTTTTTATTAGAAGTTCATTTTATGGAGGGCTCTTACAACTCTTAAAACAATCTGTGTATCGGTTGTATCAAGCATATTTGTACCTATGTTGCCATCATTCTTTTCTAGACATTTACTTTCTATTGAGCCCTTGGTATCAGCTCCCCCCCCCCCATAGTATATTTTCTCTAAGCACAGCAGGCTATTATCTAAATTGCATTCTTTATTTAAAATGCCATATCCTGTAATGCCTGGTTCCTGTGCTTCTGTGGCAAGTGCGGGGAGCAGGGGGAACCCGGTTCAAACCCCGACACGCGCACTGAGTAGTAGGTAGTTCCCTGGCTTTAGGACAGCATTGTGCTCAGCTCCCAGAGGAATTCCTTGGAAAACGCTGGACAAAGGAGTGTTCCCAAACACTTCAGTGTCTGTCTGAACCTCGGTTTCCTTATCTATAAAACAGGTCTGCCAGTGGGGTTGTTTATAGATTACCAATAGTTTTTGTAGGATCTCTTTACTTATAATAGGCACTCAATTGGTGCTGGGCATCATAATGATAAATCTTGTACTAGAATGACATTTTATTCATTATCAAGCCAGTCCTATAAATCAGACGAGTGATCTAGGTTTCTGGGGTAGAGAGAGGGCCCGGTTGATTCAGCTGCTGTTCCCAGCAATGCTTCTTCCTCTCTTGCTGTCAGGATTTATTAAGGCAGGTTGTGTATTTGACTTCGAGGCAGGGTGGAGACTTAAAGAGTAAAGACCCAGTTATTGCCCATAAGGAACATATAAACCAATTGCAGAGACTTTCTGGTCAGAATGAGGACGTGAGAGGAATGCAAGCAGAAAACAGGAAATTGGATGCTTGTGAGAAAATCTGCCGTGTAGTCGGGAGTTTGGAATTAGAGAGAGTTCTGATTGGCACGTAGACCACAGGGCGAATCCTGGGGTTGTGATTAGGTGGTTAGGGACCCTGTGATGTGTGTGTGTCCCAGGTGCAGTCAGATGCTAGGGGCCAGTGAGTGGCCCAGAGGAGCTCCTCAGTGGGAGGAGCCAAAGGGGAGGTGAAGCCAGTAAAGTGAAGCCGAGTTTGAAGATCACCTTGGTGATTGCATTAGCTTTTCATCCTGCTTTTTCTCAGAGACCTAGCCAGCTGGTCCCTTGTTTGAATGCAGAAGCATCCCAGAGAAGGCCAGCAGACTTAGTACAGACTGGCAAGATTTTTTACTTGGAGTGGGACCCTACAGTGGTCTACTTTACCATTTCTTTTTCTATCCAAAGACAAGTTCCATTTGACTCGGTTAACTCTAGCTGTAGTGGGTCACAGGCAAGGGCAGCCGCCGGGTCACGCTGAGGGAGACCCGTGTTCATCTGAAGGAAGTGCAGCGTGTGTAGTCGACTTTCTCTCCCCGGAGAAGACCTGAAACTTCTGGAGTATCCCTTCCCCTCCCCCTGTTTTTATTCGCACCCTTCCGTTTGGGTGGATTCTAAGCCAGGGGATGGGCTGGTTATGGAGTCAAGATTTAAGTATTTCTCTTTCTAAATGTGTGAGGAGCAAGGAATCAACACGGTACCACCATGGACCACGCTGCCCAAGATGGCACTATGAAAACTCCACTGCCCGGCCGTGTCCACCTCCAAGACCCTGCAGCCTGGCAGAGCGCTGGGCCAGAGAGGTTCTGAGCCCACATCTTTGTGAACGCCAGTTGCCTCCTCTTTCTCTCATGGAGCTGCCGTTGGGTTTGAACCACCAATACTTTGATTAGCAGCTTACTGCTCAACCGCTGTGCCATGAGAGTTTCTTTCAGACCGTATGTAGTATAACATGGTGCTTCACGGGATAAGGGTCCAGAGATAGAATTACGTCCTCTTCCTTCCTGTTTTACCTTGTTGCTATTAATAAGAGTGCTATATATTTCTTCCTAGTGAAAAAATGTCAGTAGAACATCCTTTGGGTGTTTTCCACATCCATTTTTTTCACCCATAATTATTAGGATAGCTACATTACTCTGTCCGTTGGTACATATAGCAAAGTTGTTGGGATTAAATTCAAGATTACTGCGTTGTTTCCTCACTGGAATTATGGTTCCCTACTTTATGTATTCTTATATAGTGTACAAATTTCATTTCCTTTTTTAAATAATCATTTTTAGGAGTTTTTAAAATTGATCCCAAGATGTAATTCTCTACCAAAAAAGGGAATGGCAAGTTATTTTAATGCCTTTTATTGTTTTTGTTTCTAGCTTATTCTACTAAGCTCAACAAATTTCCCGTATTTAATATTAATGATGACTTGAATGATCTGTGTACCAGTGCAGTGAGCCCAAATACTACCAAAGCCACGCGGTACGCCCTGAATGTGTGGCGCTATTGGTGCATGACCAACGGGCTCAAAGACCACATGGACATCACCAAGGTAAGGCGATCCCGAGTTCACTCCTTCTTTCAGCAGCTCCCCAAGGGCCTTCTCAGCGGCCGGGCACCGTGCGGAGTCTGGTGCGAAGCAGAGCAGCTGCTCCCTCTGCCTGGAGGAACTTTGAGGAGACATAAAACAGGAAGGGAATTCGTCAGTGTAGAAGGCAGAATTTAATCAATGTTCTATAAAGTTACAGATGAGAAATGTCTGAAAATTCCAGATGGATACATTAAGTTTAGCTTGGTGAGACTAGAGAGATTTTAAAGCATGTTTTAGGGGCAAGGTGGGATTGTAGTAGAGGGCGGGGACAGGAGTCTTCCTTGCTGAATGATGTGAGCAAGGGTAAGATGTTGAGGGCATGGCCTCAGCTAGTTACAGCCGGGCCTTTATACACAGGAAGAGTGGATGACGAACCACATTTTGTCAACCCTTAAGGGCTAAGCTAAAGTCTTGTGATAACTGGGGAACCACTGACATTTTTAAGCATTACAGGAGATCAAGCAAGTATCTCAGGGAAATTAATCCGCAGGGAGCACTAAGCACTGGTAGCGTAGTGGTTAAGTGTTGGGCTGCAATACTAACGGTCAGCCATTTGAAACCACTAGCCCCTCTGAGAGAGAAAGACGAGGCTTCCTATTCCTGGAAACCCATGGGGCCGTTCTACCCTGTCCCACAGACTTGCTCTGGGTCACCATCCACTTGAGAGGAGTGAGTTGAATTGACTGGGCATAAGAGGAGTCCTGGTGATACAATGGTTAAAGTCTCCACTGTTAACTAAACAGCCAGGGATGTGAACCTACCAGCTCCTCCCTGGGGCCCGGAAAATGTAGTCATGTGCTTCCATAAAGAGTCACGGTCTTCCAAACCCTCTGAGGCAGTTCTGCCGTCGCCTGTAGCGTTGCGGTGAGTCAAATGGGCCCAGTGGTGGCTGTGGTTTGGTTTTGATGCGGTTACTGACCAGAGTTGTGAGGAGCCCTGGTGGCATAGGGGTGGCACCTCGGACTGTTCACTGCAAGGGTAACAGTCTCGGAAGCCCGCGGGGGCAGTTCTGCTTGTCCTGTGGGGCTGCTATGAATCAGAATCGACTCAGTGGCAGTGAGTTTGGGCTTTTGGTCCTCGGTTTTCCTGTTTGTAAAATGAGCTCTTCAGATCCCTTCAAAGAAAAAAAATACCCTTTCAAATTAGAAACGTTTGAGGTTTGCAACTGGAAAAGCTTTTTTGATCTGTGGAGACAGAACAGAAAGATGGATTTAAATTCAGACAATCAGACAGAGTGCTGGCCTAGTGGGCGTGTCTAAGCATTTGGGAACATGGGACTTATAGCATGGAGAAAAAGTTAAAGCTGGAGGTATATATTTAAAATTGGTATGAGTAGAGGTTATAGGCGAATCCCTCAGGATGGGATTGTGGGTAGTGTGTTTAGGGGATCAAGAAAAAAATCAAGTAGGAAAGCCAAGTTGGGACAGAACATTGAGAGGAATGTGCTTGGAAGAAAAGTGGGAAACATCGTGGGCCCAAAAATGCCCTGTTGGGAAGAGAGCTGTAAGAAGTGAGCGTACACAGAGAGCAGAGTTCTCCTGTTGAAGCTGTTATTGAGGAAGGAGAGAGAGAAAGGCAGATGGATGGCATGAACAGCCTAGTGAGGATGAGACTCGGAAAAGGACCTTCAGAAGTCCCAGGACAGTCGCATCCCTTGGTTCCTGGCAGATTCCTGCTAATAATTCCTAAAGGGAAACACCCAAATTTAGGGCCCGGGTTCTTCTGGCAGAGCAAAGTCAGTTAGATATGTACTCATTGGGGGGGGGGGGGGCGGTCCTGTAAGGAAGTGACCACCATGAATAAGGATGAGCAGAGTGACAGATTGAAATGCCCAGGCCTTCAGATGGCAGACCATAGACAGCCTGTATGAAATGTGTATTGGAAAAAACCATTCTAAAAGTGAGTGATCAACAAAATACTACTCAAAATGATCCAGCAGGTCTGAAAATATACTACTAATGGCCATAAAAGGATAAAAGGGTCCAGAATTCCCCCTACTTTAACAACTAAAAACCGAGACACAAAATATGACATAGACCTTTCAAGCAGAACAGGCAGCCCAGGTCTGTGGTCTCTAAGAGAAGACAGATGAGAGGGGTACTACCATCTTTCAGGCTTTCTCCCGAGACGATTCACACGTGAGCAGTGGAAGGTAGTCCCAGCAGCGCCCAGCAGTCTCGCTGAGCTAAGGGAGACAGAGCTCAGCTTCTGAGATGCCGAGAATGCTAGAGAGAAGTTCCAAAATCCATTAAAGAAATATGACAGTATCTGGAATTCAGGGATGTACAATTTGCAGTTTCTAGCCTCCAAATATGACCAGGCATAGTAAAAACAGAAACGCAGGACCCATGTCCCAGAGAAAAGCATTTTGTCTTTCGCTTCAGGCCAACCTGTGGACCAGATCTTCCTGTGGCCGGAAACTGTCCACAGGCCAAACACAGTAAGCGATGACTTGCACAACAGTGTCTGCCTGACAGAGGACCTTGGTCTCTGAGAGCCACCGTCAAGACGCGAGCCCTCTGCCTGTCGAGCTGATAGACTGTGGTACAGGGAGCAGGAGCCCAAACAGAGCCCAGCAGACTCGTTTAGTTGAGGAGATGGATCAGAGGCCAAAGACCAAAATGGCTGGAATTTTCAACCACAGAGTACTTATAAGTATGGAGTGGAAAGAGTGAGAACACTAGAGATCTGAAGATAATCCTTTCCAAAGATTCAGCTGATAAAAGCACTTGGGACAAGGGCCGGAGCACCTGAAACATGAGGCCTTGCCACAAGTGGAGGGAATAGTTAGCGCTAGACTGACCAACTGCTATTGTAATTCTACCCAACACATCGTCAAAGCCAACCCCCAAATGATCGAACTACTTATTACCAAGTAACTTAGCTGCATCCTAGGACAAAATTTAGGAATATGTGCAGAAATACAAAAATATCTAAAACCTAACAAATAAAATTTATCATGTCTGGCATTTAAACAAAAATTACTAGACATGCAAAGAAGTGGGTTATAAGTTATATGAGCCCCCAATAAAATGGCTTCTTTTAAAAGAGAGAGTGGGTTATATCCCTTAACAAGTGAGTCAATTATAGCCAATGTAGGATGCACACAGAATTCAAATGACCCAACAAGGACATTTTAAAACTTCTTATAACTGCATTTAATACGTTTTAAAAGTTAAGTCCAGGTGTAGATGCTAATAAAAAGAAAACGAAACGTAGCAACAACAAAGAACACCCAAAGAAATATAAAATGGTACAGCTGTCATGGAAAAGTTGGGGCTTCCTCAAGAAGTTAGACATAAAATCACCATCTGATGCAAAGTCCCCTTCCTGGGTGTACACTCAAAGAACTGAAATCCGGGACTCAGAGGGTTGAACATCACTGTTCATTGCAGCATTATTCGCAACAGTTAAAGGGAGTAAAAAACAACAGTTGACCATTGACAGATAAAAAAGCAAAATGTATATCTATTCAATGGAATCTTAGTCATAAAAGGAATGGAATTCTGATACATGCTATAACATGGCTGAACCTGGAAAGCACTAAAAACGGCCCAAATGATGCTAAATCAGGCAGAAAAAAATTATGTTTCCAGTTACATGAAATATCTAAACTAAATATAGAGAGGGGAGACAGGAAGGAGATTTGAGGTTACTGGGGGATCACAAGAGAGGTAATGAGGGATTGTTGCTTAAAGGGTACAGATCCTGTTTGGAATGATGAGCACTTCTTATAAATAGTGTGAAAGTTGCACGACAATGTAATGTAACTAATGCTGCTGAATTGTACACTCATAAATTGTTAAAATGCCTATTTTTTTATGTTATATGTGTTCTGCCACAGTAAAAATTAACCAAAAACAACAACAAAAGACCCACATTAAATTTTCTGGAAATAGAATCATAATATATAAGATGAAAAATCCACTGAATAAGCACATTAGAAAAGAAAATAAGAGACATGAAGATAGAACAATAATAACTATTTAAAATGAAACCTGGAGAGAAATCACAGTTAAAATAATAATAATATCCCAGAGTTGTGGGATGCTTTTAATCTACATGTAATTGAAATCTCTGAAGAAGGAAAGAGAAAGAAGAGGGCAAATAAGAATATTGGAAGTAGACCAGTTAAAATTTTACCAAAGCCCATATAAAAAATGAATAAATTTGTACCAAGGCTCATTATAATGAAATTGCCCCAAATTTGGATATAAAGGGGAAATCTAAAAGCCACTGGGGGTGGTGGTGAAGGGAACATGGTATTTTCAGAACAAAGTACACCCAAAAATCCAGAGAAAATCTCTCTTGAAAGTGAAGTAAGGTCTGTTCAGACATTAAAAAGCAGAAAGCATTCACCACCAGCATACGGTTACAGTGCCCGATGTGGAAGGGAGCCTTTCCTGCAGAGGGAAATGATACCGCATGTAATACGCAAAGGCGCGACGACCACTAGACATTGTTTTGTCTGTTTCGGGGGGTGGGGTTGGGGGGGGTGTTAACTTTTTTATTGAGAACTGAGTGAAGGTCACAGCAGGTTTCCAACAGTTCACACACGGTTAGTTTTAGTCACTGACTGCAGTCCCCACACTGTTCCCTCACGTATCCCAATCCTCTGTTTTCTGTTTCCGTTTCTCTGTCTTCCCTGACTCATTTCAACTTTGGCCTTGGGTAAATGCTGCCATTTTGGTCTCAAATATTTGATGAGTCTGAGGTGTGCGCGCCTCCCTAGGGTCATAGTTCCCCTTATAGACTAGTCTGTGGTTGGGTGAAAAGTGAGTCATGGGAGTGAGTTGATGTCTAGACACGAAGGGGTGATTAAGGGCCATAGGCGTGGGGGGTCCATCAGCCTCTACCTGCTGAGTAAGCCTGGCCCTTGTTATGATTTTGAGTTTTGTGCCCTGCCCTTCTCCCACTCCAGGGTCCTCTAAGGCGATCCCTTTCAGAGCAGTCCTCCTCAC